CCCCCGGTGTTTGCCATCGGGGTTGGGTTTTCGTTGCTTGGCAACGACGTTGTAAAACAAGCCAATTCACTTCGTTAACTCGGCAACCAGGTTACCGTTTTTATTTTTTTCCTCCGTTTATTTTTTTTGGGCGGTAACCATAATGATGGTTGAGTAGATCATGTTGTGCGGGGTGAACCCTCACTCCGCGCAAGGGGGATGATCGCACCACGTTGTGTTAAAATGGTCAAGCACCCTCGAGGCAGTTACACAGTGCTTACAACTGTCTCTGGAAGTGAAAGCACCAGAAAATAAATTAATTCATACGCAGCTGTCATCCGTACGCAAGGAAGTAAGCACAAGATGCCGAACAAAGACGTTGCTCCAATAGGAGAAAGTTGGAAAAGTACGACGAAAAGCAGCCCCGGTACCATTGACAATAAAATAGCACCCGCGGAGCCCCTCCCCGAGCACTGACCAACGGTCAAATCACCAGCACGTTCAGCACGACGGCGCGCGACGCTCAGCGGAAGGAGAGAGACCAAACTGCGCGAGAAGCTCAAGGAAGTCACATACTACACGTGAGACTGATTTATAACGGTGTATTGTACCTTGGGTGATTGAAATTCGAGTCGTTGGCCTGAGGCAGGCCGCGGCCTGTTTTACGAGCCACGGTTCCGCCGCTTCGGGAGACGAACTTTGACGCCCAGTTGCGGAGCGTGAGGTTCACAAAATGAACCAGCGCTCGGAAGGCTCAAGCATTTGATAAGCACAGGCCTGAAAAATCGATTATAGAGTTTGGGATCTGGCCTGAAGAAGCCGATACAGACCATTCGGATATGGTGCCTCAAAACGCGGCGGAACCTCATAAAACGGCGCAGTAGCTGCGCCCGGTCGTGAGTCCCTGCTGCCGCTACAGTCACATCTGTCTCGAAATGATGTTCTGTAGTCCTTGCCACTCTTCCATGTAGTCTTGGTTTTGTCAACAGACTTTTATATTTGTTGTTCACGAAATCTGGACAAGTTTTCATCCGATGTCGGCAACTGGAAACCGCTGTACCGCGTGCCTTAGAGGAGAACGAGAAGCTTCTGCCTTGCGGCACATGAGGCCCAGGACCAGCAGCCAAGTCCGGGCGTTCGTAGACGAGATTGGCATTGCAAACCAGTTGCCTGCCTTGGACGAGGGGGGGTTAGGTGAGAGCACCGTCACACTGTGCAGGCGTTCTGGTTGCTTGCTGCAATTGTACAAAAAGCACAATCAAAGGATGAGCAAGGAGCAGAGTAAAGACCGGAGAGCACGTAAGGCAGCGCAGACACCGCGCCATGCCACGGGTATGTGGACTTTACCTGAACCACAAACGCACCTGAAGCGACGGTGGCTTGATTGGTACTGCACTTCACCTGAGGCGGTGGATGCTTTGCTGGGTGCTGTGTCCATCACAGGATGTAATTTGGACATGTGCGGCGGGCCCACGGACGCCGTGGCGACCCGTCTTAGACCCACGTGTGAGGTTTTCACGAACGACGTGAGCTCGGGGTAAGAACGGTGTGTGAGGTTATCTGAAAGTAGCCCAACAATTAAAATCTCTGCACATGCTAACTCATTTCACGTANGCGCAGACACCGCGCCATGCCACGGGTATGTGGACTTTACCTGAACCACAAACGCACCTGAAGCGACGGTGGCTTGATAGGTACTGCACTTCACCTGAGGCGGTGGAAGCTTTACTGGGTGCTGTGTCTATCACAGGATGTATTTTGGACATGTGCGGCGGGCCCACGGACGCCGTGGCGACCCGTCTTAGACCCACGTGTGAGGTTTTCACGAAAGACGTGAGCTCGGGGTAAGAACGGTGTGTGAGGTTATTTGAAAGTAGCCCAACAATTAAAATCTCTGCACATGCTAACTCATTTCACGTAAGGGGGGGTGTACTCATAGTCGTGCATGCCGTAGTCATTAGACCATTGACGTCGCGTCCCTACAAAGCCGGGGCGGAGCACGCCGGGTTCTCACCGGACCAGGCTCTCACATCACCAAGCGCGAAGCGCCGTGANAAAAAAAAACCGGAGGAAAAAAAAAAAAACGGTAACCTGGTTGCCGAGTTCACGAAGTGAATTGGCTTGTTTTACAACGTCGTTGCCAGGCGACGAAAACCCAATCCCGATGGCAAACACCGGGGGGGGCGTAAGGGGAGCTATCTCTTCAAACATGCATGTGGCCATTGTATATCCAGTGGGTGCCTTTGGTGTAAGCAAGACTATCACTTTTGGATAAACGGTATTTCTTCCATGTGAGGTGAGCGATCGCTGAAATTCTTTTGACTGCTGTTCTCGATGCCAGGCGTCCCGCGGATACCAACCTTGACGCCAGCTTGGAGTCCCTCCCGGACGACTTTGTCGCAGCTTGCTCGGGGAAGAGGCCTGACTGGGTGGTGACGAGCCCTCCGTAAAAAAGTGTTCTTACTTTTGTCAAGGTCGCAATGCCGTTGGCTACGAGAGGCGTGGCGGTCAAACTTCCCCTTTCTTTTCTGGAACCCTGCGCCGACCGGGGTGGTTGGCTTCAAACCAATCCCCCATCTGTGTGCGTCTTTCTACGGAGAGCCAAGCGTCTTCCTACGGAGAGCCAAATACACACGTGTGAACAATTAAAGATGGGCGAATTCTGGGGTGTGTGGTATACTCAGGACATTAGCTGCGACACCACGACGAGGCTTGTCTTCTGTTCTGATTAGCATGGCTGCGATTTCGAGCACAGGATGGTCGGATGTGCAAGTTTAGCGTGTGAAATTGTTTGGTTCGAGCGGGGTAATAAACAAGGCGAAACGTTCCTTCCGAGTTTCTTAAAAAAGGAACAATGGTTGTCGGAGGAGATGCCTCTAACACGGCTGTGTGGGGGATGGGGCATAATCGGATAGTGTAATGACTCGAGCACGATCGAAGGTGCCAGCGCGTGCACGAAAATTGGTTCTGAGGTGCTCCCTTTTCTATTGTCGTGGTCTCGGCATGAAGAAGGAATTGCTTGGCACGCGTGTTCCTTGCGTAAGAACAAACAAAAACGCGGTGTATGGGGTGGACGATGAAAGAGTGGCTGAGTTCCTTGAAGTGAAGCAGTTGCCAGCACCTGTGACACCGCTCATGGTGAAACTTGACCATGTGCCAATGCAAGCTAACAACAATGTTTTGCTAACCGATACACGAAAAGCAAACCGACGCCTCAAATTGACCGTTCATTAGTCCCAGTTCGTGAAGGTACCGAGGTACGCGTATCACCAGGCTGCAGATTCAGCTGTTGTCCTACATGGCAGTGCGAAGCGTATCCCTCTATTTGCTCGTACTCATGAACGTCATCCTCCCGGAAACTACAAGGGCCTAAAACCACGACGCCGGTCCCCAACTCCGCTTCCCCGTTCGAACAACCAAACATACCCGGCAAAGGTTCCTCATCGCTGTCGCTGTTGCTGTCACTATCTGAAACCACCTGCCCTTCCTGTGCTAAACAATCTTCCCGCATCTCATTTTCTTCCGTCTCTTCCTCGCGGCATGTGAGCTTGCACTTGCGCAACTCTGAGCATTGACCGAAACCTTTAGTGGTGCAAACGCAGCTCGTGCAGTGACCTCCCTGCGCATCAACATCATACAAGCGCCTTCAACCTCCGTATTCCCGATGTACCCCATCCCGTCCCACTTGGGAATTTGAATGGGGTACCTGGCAGTGACGTCCGAAGCCTGACAGCCACTCGGCACAATAGAAAGCCAATATTTTTCCAGCCACGACATCCGCAGGACACAGAGGTGGGTAGCATCATAGTTCGGGGCGGCATGCTTGATGTTCTCCACACCGAACCATTTTTCAGCAGTTCGCTCCTTGATCGCTTCAACCCACTGTTTGGTGTCATCGACCTCCCCTCCCCGTTTATCTCCCGTGACTTGATGTCCTGGCAACGCATTGGGAAACAAACTCTTGTTCTTGACAAAGTACGCGAGCGAAACAAATTTGACCAACTCTTGCTTCTCCAAATGTAAATCGATGACCACCCCATCCTCCAATATTTCGGAGCCCAGGGCCTTCACAAATTGTTGGTTTTCGGCATTCTTCGCTCACTCGAAGTATGATTGAAACATGAAAAAAGAAGTCAAGCCCAAAAACGTAGGAGTAAAGTCAGTGCTGTTGAGCATGTATGCGGCAATCACCGGCAAGCACCTCTGCAAATCGGTGAACGAATGCGGCCAATTCCCCATTTTGGTCAGGGCCTCAAAAAGCTCAAGTACGTCGATGCAGTTAACGACGGCTTCATCATTCAACCCACTCTGTTGTCGCACGACCACTCGAACTCTTCTAGTGTGCGGGTATAGGGCATACGCGAGAAGGGCTGCTACCCAAACGTCCGTGTCGACAGATACTACCTCTACCCGAACGGGTTGTGTCTCCACTTCCCTCTCCCGGTTGCTCTCGGGCCTACTGCCGTCATTCCGTGCCGTCAGTGGACTCCGTAGTCGGGAAACTAGGTAGGCGTGATGCAGTGCCTGTAGCTCCCCTTCCCCTATGCCGTTATCCTCATCAGCGATGAAGGAGCCGTGTTCGTCGTTGTGCCACGACCTAAAATGCGTTGTCTTCAAATAATCAGGGGACAGGATGGGCTCGCCGTCGATCCGTAAACTTAATTTATCCAGACAATAGTGATGGAAGTCCAATGGAACCTCTCCGGATTATTCATCGTGAAATTTTTTAAGCCGCTCACGAATGTACTCGCATAAAACAGAAAAAACGCCGTCACGGTGCTGCCGGTTCTTCAGGAAGTCCTGCCACTCACCGGCACGCAGCGGCTCATCGTCGAACCCAAACCGACATTGCTTCTTCCGACACAATTTTTTCATGCGGTTACGGAAGCTCACCATGAAGGACGGCGTGGTGTTCATGTCGGACGTCCTTGGGGTTGGGGGGAAAGCGGTGATAGCCGTCCTTTTCCTCGCACCAGGTAATGACATACGCGGGTACACCTAAGATTGGGGGTCGAAACGTTCGAGATAAGCATCGGGCGAGACACGATATCTCTCATGTACTGTATCCATACATTCAATGGAGTGATCATCGATGACGATGTCATATGCCTCTGCCAACGAGACCAACAACTGTCGTAGTGACCTCGCACGGAACCAAGCTCAAAACGGTAGGTCAGCGCGGCGATGAGTCTCCTCTACGCTGAATGTGGATACACAGAACTCGCCCTTCACAAGGAGGTACTCACCGTCGCAAGAGCAAGAGGCGGTTGGACACTCCTGGGTGCTACGGCGCCGGCCAGCCCGCACCACACGACACCAACTACTCGTACAACTCGCCGCCGCCGTGCAATCTTGCCTCTGGCGTGTGCCTTTTTTGAAACCGCCGCGGTAGCCTGCGTGGAGGGAGAAGGACATATGGGTTAACCCGTATACCTCACACGGTGTGGGCTACGTCAGTTGTGCGTCAACTGCTGTGGCTCACGACATGGTCAAAGGAAACAAGGCACATGCTTATTTTGTTGACCCGCAATGGAAAAACCTGCCATCTTTGTTTTCATACACGCACCGCGCCATCAGCGTTCTGACGCCCCAAGCTTCGCTCGAGGCGCAGCCGCCGCAATCTCGAGGCATTCCGCGGTATAAGCCTTTGCAGCCTCCGTTTCTCCCGTGCTGCTGCAGCTTTCGCCTGTGTCAGGATGGCAAACAAGTTAGTGTTACGTCAAAAGTAAACGCAATCTGAAATCAAGCACGATACGTGTCAGGAACAACACTTACCCCCCTACCCCACCTCCATGGTCGGCGGCGCATGATTTTTAATCCACTCCCGAAACGTTTGCTAGAAATGTAAACAGCAGCCATACCTCAAGGCTATATTTGACTCGAAAATTGTCGCCATCTTGACCAAACAGGAAACCTCTACAAACCTCTACCGAAATCGTACCACGTCGTCCGCTTTCCGTCGTGCCATGCGTCGCTTCCGTTGCCGGCAGGTCCCCCCAATCGGCCTTTCACTACACCGTAGCTTCGTCCCGCTCCGTTGCTTGCGCTTTCGCCGCTGCCTTCGCCGCCGAGCCAACTTTCTCCTTCGCCGCACCATGCGCCTTCGCAGCGCATTTTCCCTTCGCCGCGTTCTCTTCCTATGTCGATTGGACCAGGGAGGCCGGGAGGTGTTCGGCTCCTCGTCCTTCCGTGAAGTTTGCTTCGCCGCTAGCCGCATTTTAGGCGACAGCGCCGTGTCCGCCGCTGCTGACAGCTTCGACGACAAGCCCGCCACTTACCATCCCTCGGCTTTCCTCATTCTCCGCACTCCTGCAAGCTGTCGCCTCCACAGCTCGCTGCTTTGCGGTGGCGCCCAGCTTCCCTCTAAGCTTCCCTCTAAGCCCTAGATGCGCGGCATCCACATCATCACCATTACCGCCAACGGCAGTAGCAACGGCAGCCTTGTCGTCACGCCCCCCATTGCCGACAGCATGAAGAACAGCCTCACTACAGGGGTCACCGTCAGGGACCGAGTTCGCTCTTCCGCAGCCGCCCTATCCGCCTCCGCCGACGCCGCCGTCACCTCTGCTGTGACTGCCTTGGCCTCTACGTCTGCCGCAGCAGTCCTGGCCACCTGAGCCACCAGAAGTGCTCGTTTCACATCCAACATTAAGGCCCGACCTGGCGCCTCCTTGACCCTCTGCCAAAAAGCGAGCTCTTCGCTAAACTGCGGCTGCAAAAACATTGTTTAAAGAACAGACAATGTGCCGGCCGAAAGGTGAAATCGTTATTGCACGTAGTACAAGTCCTGACAAAAGATATTGTTTTTGCGATTTTCGTGCCCGCAACAACACCAGCATGTCAGGCGTAATATCTGCCTCACCTGAAGGACATCTGCGTTCGCAGGGGGCAGCATGAGCACCCAGTGATTGAATTCAGGCATCCATCGCTTTTGGCGGAGTTCGCCATCAAGGCCGCGCTCCCGCCGGCGAGTTGTCTCCGTGAACTCGTCGATGCTGCTAAATTCTTGCTCGTGGGACGTGACGCACATCGTGAGGTGATGGTTGGCTCATCTTCACAGGGGCTAAGCGGACCAATCAACTCCTTGCTCCATTTCCCACCGAACGACGCCCCACCAGCAACGACCTTCATCAACCCACCTGCCCAACAATGTAATCCGTGAGCAGTACGTGTGCGCACGCTGTTACGGCACAGCCAAAATTGCCTCGTGGCATGTAATGGCGAACCTATAAAACGAATAGCAGCACTCATCCTAGTTCACTTTGCCATGATAGAGTAACCTGTCTGTGGGGTTGTGGGCTACTCATGTCCGGAGGAGGGGGGGGGTCATACTGCGGGATCACGCCAATGATTTCCGTCACGGTCGGGCTGTTGACTTAGGGTGGAGACCACCGAGGGCGGGGGCTCTAACATGATGAAATTGTGCCTCAAATTTTCTACGTTCGCCGTTTCATATTGTGCAAGAAAATAATTCTGCCAGACCCCAACCCACCTGGGTTAAAGCACCGAATGTTAACCCCAAAGACCTGTGCTGTCCACGGAATGGCCGCCTGTTGGCTGTCGCTGAACTCACCAGCGAATTCTCGCACGGCAAGCAGGTACAGGACACGAGCTACGCCCTCTGTCAACACCGCAGGAGTGTTGCACCCAAGCTTCAGAGCGCCCTCGACTGGTGTTGCGGAGTAAGCTTGCAGCGTACAGTAGAAGCCACAGTACTCAGGGCCGCTGATGAATTCCTGCATGTGTACTATAGCCGCCCGGATGACGGCCACACGTACCGACAGAGATAGCCCCAGCGCTTGGTCAGGGGTTTCGCACTTGGCACCAAAACCCCCCAACGCAACGGCGTTGAAAAAGCGAGCGTTATTGCCGCGGGTTTTTAAAGGTATTCCGCTGCCCCCTCCGTCTGCGCTGTCCGCCCCGTTGAGCAGGGCTTGAGCTGTCACATCCACGCACATGGGTCGCCTCAGCAAGCCCTCGTATCCCTGAACAAAACGACCGGAGAAGGTTGTTGAAGCTCGGCGCGACGGTTGCGTTCCTGTTTGCATCGCGTCTTTCCACGGTGCATCCTATCGCACGTGCACGATTAACGTTTGCAGAGGAGTTCCTTACTCAACACACACGATTTGAAGACACATTACCCACGCCCACCAAGTGCTTCGCTATGATGATTTTGACTAGTCGTGCTCGAGAAACTACGCGTCGTCATCGGTGTCGTTCCTCCTGAGAGTAAATTGAAAACGTTGGGTGTAGGAAATTTATTTTCTTCATAACATTCAATGGGGTGATACACCCCAGGGGGAACAGGAGACAAGAGGCCCCTAAGGAAAAAAAATTGTAAGAGCGAGAGTTGAGGAGGAGACGAAAGAGGGACAATATGTGGGGAGCCTTGGCCCTGTCATCTACACCCCAACGCACTTGTCGTGCCAAACGCCGGTCTCGTCCCAAATACGATAAGATAACGATGTAGGCTAGACGCGCTAGATCTGACGCCTTGCGATGTTCAGAGCAGTCGTGAACACCGCCAAACGTCATAATGCGGGGATGCTACGGCATAAGGCCAGGCTACGATCCCGACGACAATAGTAACATGGCTAGGTCGGCAAAAACATGCCCCCCGGCTGCCGCATGCCGCTAGCACGTCTGGTACTCATACCGGTAGGATGACGTCCGTATCGTCGCTGCCCAATACTAGCTTGAAGCTCAAAGCGTGCTCGACGACATCCGAGCATGCTCCGAGTGCCAGACCGTCTTCCATTCTACCGCTAGAGAGCATTGCATCGATTCTTTCCCTCATGCTTTCCAAGAATAGGAGGTTTGCCTGGTCATCCGCGAACGCGTTGTTATCCTTCCATGACATGCCCGTTCCTGTTCCGAGCCCCACGCGCTTCTTCCGGCTGAGCCCCATCCTGGTACATAGTACACCAGCAGCTTGTCATTTAGGGCGGGATACGTTGATGCCTACAACCTACATGAAACAAAGTCCGTGTGACAAGATTCCTGTATGTTGGCCGTCAAAAGAAAAATGGCGTACCTATGCATATGTCCCTACGCCATGAGCGTTTGCTCGTGCTCTCTCTCGTGCTCTCTCTCGTGCTCTCTCTCCCTTTTCGATTCTTGCGGTACGGATGGGTGTGTGGGCATCCCGCTTGGCCCACTGCGCCGTTGCGCACAAGCACTACGTGTGCGTGATTCATCAATGACATGGTACAATTACTGGAGGTGAGAGCCACGGACGCGAGAATAACAACCACCGGCCACAGCAGGCAGTGAGCAAGAACTGGTCATCACCATTCCTGTCAAGACTCGTCGTATTCATGATACATGCCACCTGACGTTTTCAAAATAAAAAAATAAAAAAAATCTCTGCTGTAGACTTTTCCACTTTCGGTGCTGTGCAATTTGACGTAGCCGTACTCGTACGTCGGCGGTCGTCACCGATATACTCTAGCGTATCCTCTGCTAGACCACCGCCCTCCTCCATCAGGGCGGAAGGGAGGTAGCGTAGTGCAGTCAGCCCGCCCGTCAAATTTGTGTGCACATGATGCACCAAGGAAGCACGCCCTCGTGGCCTTGACAGCCATGTGTGGTTGGATCTACTCACGCCCAAAGGTTGGAGCCACTAACGCTCAAAGCCCTTGGCAGCACCTCCTCCCTCACCAGCGGTGCCGACGATGTAGCCACCAGGCGTGCAGCACACGCAGCAAATAGATACCGCCCTCTCGCGTTCAAATGGAGCGGCCCGCCTGAAATTTGCCGGAAGGTACCACCTCCACCTCCAACTTCATCCACAAGTTGCGAAGCGTGGAGAAAACCGCGTCCCTCACAACTTGGTAGGTGTGCGGCTTGGCGGTAACACTTGTTGGAAATCGATGAACGAATTTGGGA